TAGGCCCAAGCTAAAACATTACATTTCCTAGCTTCTCCCTTGCAGCAAGATGTGGCCAGGTGGTCAGTCCGGCTAAGAAGATGTAAACAGAACTAGTAGAAGGGGATAGGGGAAAGCTGTGTGGGAAAATGGTATTTGCTTAGCTGGAAAGGGGCCTTTCTGTCTTCTCCCCTCTCCCCAGGTCTGGTGCTATGATTACAAATACGATGGTTTGTGTCAGAATAACTGCAGCTGCCAGGCGCGGTGGATCACGCCTGTAATCCCAGCACTGTGGGAGGCCGAGGCGGGTGGACCACGAGGTCAGGAGATCGAGACCATCCTGGCTAACACGGTGAAACCCCGTCTCTATATAAATACAAAAAAATTAGCCGGGCGTGGTGGTGGGCTCCTATAGTCCCAGCTACTCAGGAGGCTGAAGTAGGAGAATGGCATGAACCCGGGAGGCGAAGCTTGCAGTGAGCCGAGATCGCGCCACTGCCTGGGGGACAAAGCGAGACTCTGTCTCGAAAAAAAAAAAAAGTAACTCTGCAGCTATCTTGGACTGAGGTGACATCAGGGAAGAAGTCATGCAGAAGAATACTGGGATCCAAGACAGAATGAGTCTGGGTCACTGACGACTAAGGACTCCTTCCACTAGCACTAGATTGGCCTACCGCTGGTTTATTTTACTTAATGTCTTGTTTAGACCACTATCGTTATGTCAGGTAAAATACAATTCCTAACTACTATAGCTTAGACAGCCAATAAAACATGTCAGTTAAAGATTCTTTTTCTGTAAATTTTTTTTTTACTTCTCTCATTTTAGGACTGACTTTATTTTACACAAAGAAAATCACAATTATAGCTATGACCAGGTAAGCATTGAGGCTGCAGTTGGAAAGGAACGTGGAAGTTGAACACTGAGGAGGTGGTAAGGAGGCTGAGGAAGACAGAGGTCGATGTAATCATGTTGAAACCACCTAGGAAGATGGCAGCAGCTATGGAACAGAAGGTTGTAAGCAAGATCCCAGGGTAAAGATGGACACTTAGGCCTTGGAGATGACAGTAACAAGGACTCACAAGCGATGTTCTGCTCGCTAAAAGCCCCAAATGCAAACCTTCTGTTTCAACTAGATTAATCCCATGAAGTGGGTGAAGCAAATTTCTATCAGGGCACACTACTGGACAGGTTCAGGGCAAGTACAGCATTATCTCCACTTCCCTTCGTGCTGGGAAATACAAAGGAGACCAAAACCTCCAGGAATACATTCACATGCAACCTCCATAGTCCTTGAATTTAAGAGTTGCTACCTGCCGCACTGAGAAAGGAGGGGAATTCAGCAGGAATATGAGATTCTCGTGGTATTTCTAACAGGGCTTTTTCTCTACCGTATCCTGCTTTTACCCCAGGATATCCACCTTACCACCCTCGCCACCCAAGAAGAAAAACTAGCTTTTACTTTAGCAAACCAAAGCTAGGCACTCAACAAATACTTGTTGAATGAATCAGAGCATAGCTCAAGTGCAAAATTCTTTTCAATCAATAATTTACAAACAAAGCTACAAAACAATATAATTCTCTCTTGCTTTAGTGTTGATTAATGAACTCTCAACATTGGTTGTTTCTTGGCAACTGCAGATTTCACAAGAATGAGATTAAATGGCTTTTTACATCCTGTGTTTAGAAAGGGAATAGAAGGGTTTATGGGAAGTTATGCTCAGGTCAAATCCAGTTAAACAGATATATAATTCTCCATTGTCTTTCTTCAGACAATGAAAATCCACGATCTAAGATCTGAAACTACTGCCACAGCCATGCATAAAATGAAATGCTGCTGCTTTCCTCTCTGTTAAAGAGAATGTTCAAGGCTGAGGACACATAAAAAAAGAGCAGCATTACTGGCTCTGTTATTTAGCTGTGTGTTTTTGAAAAAGTCACTTCTCCAGACATATCTCAGCATTTATAACCTGAGACTAAACCTAAGAGTGAATCACTGCATTTTACCCTTAATGAGGTACCTTTAAACTAATCTTTTTGAAACAGTACTTAAATTGTAGCAGGACAAGCCGCAGACAAAACCTTTCAGACACCAAGTTAAAGAAAGAAGGGCTTTATTCGCCGGGAGCTTCGGCAAGACTCATGTCTCCAACAACCGAGCTCCTGGAGTGAGCAATTCCTGTCTCTTTAAAGGCTCACAACTCTAAGGTCCGTGTGAGAGGGTCGTGGTAGATTGAGCAAGCAGTGGGTACTGCATGCACCGGTAATTAGAACGAACAGAACAGGACAGGACAGGGATTTTCACAGTGCTTTTCTATACAATATCTGTAATCTACAGATAACATAACCAATTAGGTTAGGGGTCGATCTTTACCAGGCCCAGGGTGTGGCGCCGGGCTGCCTTTGGATTTCATTTCTGCCTTTTAGTTTTTACTTCTTCTTTCTTTGGAGGCAGAAATTGGGCATAAGACAATAGGAGGGGTGGTCTCCTCCCTTAAAATCTTAATGCGCTCCTCCAAAAATGTATATCCACATATTTGCATATAATTTCATGGGATTCAAAACCCCTGAAACTGATCCAGAACCCCCAGATTAGTAACACCTGGACTAGATGTTGTCTAAGTTCTCTGAGCTCTATAATTGGTTCCACTGATTTCTAAGTTTTTGGGGGTTTTCTTTTTTGTTTTTTTTTTTCTTTTTAAAGTAAAACCACTTTGAGTTATGTTCATGGTGCTTACACCATGGTTTCCATTCTAGAACCAACTATATTCTAAAATTCCTGGTTGGAACAAAAGTTACTTAAGCAAGTAAAAGC